CCCGCGGCGGGGAGCGACTGGTGGCGCGGAGCTATTCACCCGGTTTGCAGGGCTGTCCCCTGCCGGGTCCCCTCCGTGTCGGCACCAGCGCCGCGGCCGGCAGGTTTCCCTCCGCGCGAGGACCGTTTCTACCCGTTCGCCCCGCCGCGCGCCGATCTGCGTCCCCAGCGAGGCTCCGCGGGCGGCCCCTGCAGCGTCGCTCCCGAGCTGGGGGCTGGGCCCTGGGTGCGCCAGGACTTGCAAGGCCTATGGGGAGCAGCTGGAGGGCTAGAGGCCGCGCCGCACAGGGGTCGGGGGCGGGGGGCCCACTTCCCAGCCGGTTGAATGAAGTGGTTGCCGTGGTCGCCAAGTCTGTGACATGAGGTTATTAATAATAACCTAGGTATAGTTCTGAATTTTTGTTTTATCACTTTTAAGTATTTCCCTAGTTGCTCCCTGGGGTTTTTGTTTGTTGTTTGTTTTGTTTTGTTATTGGTTTTGTTTAATTTATGCATTTCTTCCATGAGAGACAGAAAGAGGCAGGTACCCCCAACAGTCTTCACACTGAGCTCCAACCCCGGTTTCAGCCACCAGGATCACGGGAACATGCACACCCCTGCACGGCAGTGCAGACAGGGCTACCTCAGGTGGAGCGAGTGTCCTTGTGGGTCAAGCATGCCAGACTGCTGTGCCACCCGCTGGCTCCGCTACCCGGTTTCAGTCATTGTTATATTTAATATTCCAAAAGTTGATATGCTTGCTTAATCCTTCCCTTACCGTGGGACTCATACGATGTTTACAGGTTTTCCTTAAGCAATGCTATGATTCCATCTTTGTTCATAAAGCTTTTTAAAAATATTTTTTAAAACGTTTGTTACAGAACACTTGTACGGGTCGAGAGAGAGAGAGAGAGAGAGAGAAAGACGGCAGGAAGGTAAGAAAGCACCTCCCATGGGGATGGCCAGGCCCAGGCTCTCAGGATTCTGGGCATGCCTGGTGTGTGTCTCAAGCTGCCAGGTCTGGGACTCGAGCCACGGTCAGCCACATGGGCTCCACCACCTTATCCAGCCACCACCAGCTGGCCCCTACCTGACTCTTTTTTTTTTTAGAATTTTTTCCTTAGAGAACTATTTTTTTAATTCCAGTTGTTGTTATTTGACCAGAGAGAGAGAGAAAGGGAAAGGCAAAGCAGGCCATTCGGCCAGGGACTTGAACTGCAACTGGCCTTGTGGGAATCCAGCACCTTAAACACCTGCTGGCTCTCCTACCTTAGTCTTAGTACAGTACTTACAATGTACTAGGGCCTGTTCTAGAGTGCTTTGCAAGTACCACCCGAGCTAGTCCTCCTGGTGGCTCTGTGCATATTCCCTGACGGATATTCCCACTTCCCGATGAGGACGCTAAACCCCATCGTAGAGACACTGAGGAACTTGCCGAGGCCACGGTGAGAGGCGGAGGGCCCACGTACTCAACCCCACTCCAGTCTCGGCCTCCCTTTGCAGGCCTTCGCCTCCCATTTATCTCCTCGTCCAATACAATAACTGCATAGTATCCAAAGGAGTAGACAGCTCGTTAGTTAGCCAACCCCACTCCCTTCTTTAACACTTAATCAGACTCCTTTTTTTTTCGGTTGTTATAGGGCACGTGCACTTGGCAGAGAGAAGGGGTGGGGTGAGACACCACTCCCCCGGGGTGATGGCCGTTCTGCAGAGGGGGTGGGGTGAGACTCCACTCCCCGGGGTGATGGCCGTTCTGCAGTTCCTTCTCCACTCTCATCTTGGAATCTGGGCACAGAGGCACACAGGTCCTGGTATGATTTCCAAGCCGCCAGATCTGGGACTTGAACCACCAAGTCGGCCATGCAGAACCCAGCTGCTTGAACAACCACAGCACCTTGTTGGCCCACTCCTGGCTGCTTTCAAAGCACGCGCATGCAGTGGGATCTCTGCTGAGGGGTGACCCAGTAGTCCTTCTGCCCACCACAGTCTTGTACACCCACTCACATAGGTGGCCCCAGTCTTTAGCATTACAGAAAACACACCATTGATGAAATATTTTCTTTTTTTAAACTTTTAAATTATTTTTTAACATGTATGTATTTACTTATCTGTTTATTTGTTGTGATTTTCTGTCTTTCAGGTCCAGGACTTGAACCACGATCAGCCATGTGAGAGTCCAGTGCCTCAACCACGATACCACCTACAGACCCCAACCCATTGATGAAATATTTTTACATTATTTTACTTAAATTTATTTATTTGTTTTAATTTGACCAGAGAGGGACAGAGTGAGAGAGAGAGAGAGGAAAATTGAGAAAGCAAGCCACCAGGTCTGGGACTTGAACCGTGGTCAGCCATGTGGGATTCCAGCATCCTTAACCACCACAACACCTGCAGGCTCCCACTGATGAAATCTTGATTCACTGGCCCTGTGACTTTTCTTTATCATTCCTCACATACCTTTTCTTTTTTAATTAATCATGACATACAATAAACTCCACATAATTTTTTTACTAAGCACTGCTTTCACTGTGTTTTATAAATTTTAGTATGTTATATTTTAGTTTTTTCATTTCAGAATGTTTTTGGTTCTTTTTTAAAGAATTATTTATTTAATTTTATTTATTCATTCATTTATTTTAATTTGACCAGAGAGAGACACACAGAGAGAGAGAGAGAGAGAGAAACTGAGAAAGCAAGCCCCCTCCTCCAGGACTTGAACCGTGATCAGCCATGTTGAAGTGTCCAGCGCCTTAACCACCACGCCACCTACCGGTCCCCAATCTCAAAGTATTTTCTAATTTCTCTTCTGATTTCTTCCTTGACAGACTGGTTATTTATTTATTTATTATTATTATTTTTTTTTTTTTTTTTGGAGAGGTTTTTGCTATAGGGCGCATGCGCTCACCAGATAGAGGGAGAGAGACAGAGAAACAGAAAGCAAGAAATCACCCCCCAGGGGGGATGGTCACACAGCAATCCCTCACACATACGCACCCGGTGTGAGTTTAAGCCACCGGGTCCGGGACATGAACCACGGTCGACTACATGGGAGTCCAGAGACATAGCCATTCCGCTAATTGCCGGTCCTGACAGACTGGTTATTTAGAAGTGTGTTGCCTTTCCTCCAAGATGGTTCCAGAAGCAGAAGGAATCTCCTGCCCCTCCCAAAGCTGAAGCCAAAGGCTTTGAAGGCCAAGAAGGCGTCTACAGCTACAAATAAAGAAGAGTGCACATCGCTCACCTCCCCAAGCCCAAGACTCCTCAGCTGCCGAGGCACCCAAATTTCCTCAGAAGAAACCAGCTAGACCACGAGCCCATCATCGGGCTCCCCCAACTGCCTTCTGCCGTGAAGACAAGACACAACGCCACGCTGTGTGCACTGTGGACGTCAAGGCCAGCAAGTGCCAGTCAGTCACACAGGCCGTGAGGATGCCCCATGGTGTCCACGTGGCCGCAGTCTGCGCTCCAATCAGGCCTGACCGACATAAGCATGTAAAAAATAAATTTAAAAAAAAAGTGAGAAAGCAAGCCACCAGGTCTGGGACTTGAACCGTGGTCAGCCATGGAAGTCCAGCGCCCTTAATCACCACATCACCTGCCAGCCCCTTTGGCGAACTCCTTTTTCTCATTATACAACTATAGAAGAGTTCATCCCAGCAAACCTTGGTATGTGGGAACAACCCTCGTTCTGAGTCTTACGTCTGCTGTTACGGAGTCGCTCCACTTTGTCACTGCATGGAACCTGCCTCCATGCTTTCCACCTCAAGATGACGACTGCTCCACAAGTAGGTGAAGAAGGTGTTTTGTAAAGAAACCAACTGCAGCAGTGAAAAGTCAGCACAAGACCTTTGCACAAACTAAAAGTTTTACCCCGTCAGCGTTCACTTGTTTTCGGAGGACGCGCTTCGGAGCCCCGCGCCTCCTGTGAGGTGCACAGCCTCGCTGATGCTCTGGGTGATGTAGTCTATGTTGCTGGCGTTGATGCACGTGAAGTTAATCCGGCTGTTCTTGGGGACGTAGATGTGCTTCTTCCTGACCAGGTAATCCACCTGTTGGACTGTGGTAACCGCAGAGTCAGATCCTACGAGGGCTTCCTCTAAATCCCTCGAGCCAGGGAGAATTAGGAGGGCCAGAGAGTCAGCATTCCTGTGGGTCCAGGAGGCTTTTTAAAGAAGCCCCATTTTCCGGAGGAAATCGTTGACATCTGGGTGAAGCTAGGGACTGGTCACTTACGGCCGTTTATTGCTCAAACACAGACGCGCGGTTGGAATGCGGGCCACCCCTCCTTGACACTTACCGTTGAGTCCGAGGTAGCCGTGGGTCCCGTTCTGCTCAGTGATGTGGTCCCACGAGCCAGGCGTCCCCAGGAGCCGGAGTTTCTCCTTCACCTTCTCCTTGATCAGCATGATGTTCTCGATCACCTCCTTCAGACTCTGCTTCCTGCCGAGGAAGGACAGCACACGAGCGCGAGGTCTCCCCACTTGCACCCTCCTATCCACCCGCTTCTTAGCTTCCCAGGCCCCGACAGAAAACCTGAAGGGGCGTTAGTGGAGCCAGGCTCTGGACCGTTAGAGTCGGGACGGGGCGTAGTCCCATATAAATCGAGCCAGCCAGCAGGCTCCCAGGCAGACTTCTGCCACAGTAGCAAGCCTCTGAGGCTTTCTAACCTCCTCCTGCCATCCTGGACATTTCAGAGGACTCATGGTCTGAGTCCACGAATGTCTGCCACCCACTCCGCTGAGGCAGGGCCTCCGAACGTGCTGCTGAGGGAGCTGATGAAGGCAGAGGGGGCATCCGGCCCTCGCTCCTGCAGGCCGGCCGGTCCGTAGGCACCCAGGCGCTCTGCCTGCCACCCACCCCGCCCCTCCACCTACCACTCTCCGTGCAGAGCAGGGTTGCTGAGGATGGAGGTGATGATGCGCGCGCCCGTGGTCGGGGGGTTCAGCCACAGGGCCTGCGTGAAGGCCATCAGCTGGGAGAGGACGCACAGCAGGTGCTGGTTGTTGAGCGCCACCACCACCAGGACCCCCACGCCTTCATCTGCAGCATCGGAAAGACGGCCTCCTCCTCAGTCTTCTGCCACTCCTGGGGCCTGCACCCCTACCTGACACCCAGCCCTGCCGGACAGAGGGGTGAACCACAGGGCCCTCAGCCCAGCCCAGCCACGGCAGTATTCAGGAAGCTCCAGAGGCTCCTTTTCCAGTAAAGTACCCATAAGTAACATCTTTTTAAAAAATTTTCCATTTAATTTTATTCATTTTTATTTATTCATTTGTTTATTTCAATCTGACCAGAGAGGGGGAGAAAGAGAGAGAGAGAAAGTGAGAAAGCAAGTCGCCAGGTCCAGGACTTGAACCGCTGTCAGTCATGTGGGAATCCAGCACCTTTAACCACCAGCCACCTGCCGGCCCCAACATCTTTTTATTTTTTTTTAAAGAGAGATTTTTGCTATTGGTTGCGTGTGCTCACCAGAGAGACACAGGAACAAAATGCAAGAAATCATCTCCCCCGGGGGACAGCCATCACAATCCCTTCTCCTCCATTCTCCTCTTGGGATCTTAGGCGTGCACGCACACGCACCCAGCTTGAGTTTCAAGCCACCAGGTTTAGGACTTGAACCATGGTCAGCAATGTGGGAGTCCAGCAACGTAACCATTACACCATCTGCTGGTCCTAGTAACATCTTTTTTTTTTTAGTTTATTTATTTCTTCCATGAGTGAAAGACAAAAAGCAAAAGCACTTCCAATAGAGTTCTTTTATCCTTTTTTTTTTTTTTTAAGTGACTTTTGCTAGAGGGTGTGTGCACTCATTGGGGAGACAGAGACAGAAGCGAGAAATCACACGCACACACACACACACACACACATATGGGGTGGGGATGGCCATGCTGCAATCCCTTTTCCTCCAGTTGCTTCTAGGGATTTGGGGCATGCAAACACACACAGCATGGGTTTCAAGCTGCCAGATCTGGGATTCGAACTATAGTCAACAATGTGGGAGTCCATGCCTTAACCTCTATGCTACCTGCTAATCCCACCAGTATAATCTTGATGCTGTGACCCACCGCAGCCTCGGCCAGCCCTGGATCCAGGCACAGGCCTGCCCCGCACACTCAGGGAAGTCTGGACAGGGACCCAGAACCTTCCCACCTAGCTCGGCCTCGCAGAGCTTCGCATGTGACCTCTGCAGCCCCGCCCCATAAACAAGAGTCCTGATGGAGGAAGGACCTTGAAAGAGCACCGCGTCCCACCCTCTCATCTCCTGCCTGTGAGAACTAGGCCCGAGGAGGCCAAAGGGTTTCACCAGAGCCCGTGTTGGGAGCTCGTTTTTTCTTCTTTTTCCTTTTTTTTAGAGGTTTTTGCTATAGGGCGCGTGCGCTGGCCAGAAAGACAGAGAGAGACACAGAGACAGAAAGTGAGAAATCACTCCCCAGAGGGGATGACCATGCTACAATCCCTTCTCCTCTATTCTTCTCTCGGGATCTTGGGCACGCATGCACACGCACCTGGCGTGAGTTTAAACCACTGGGTCCGGGACTCAAACCGCGGTCGACTACGTGGGAGTCCAACGACATTGCCATTACGCCAACTGCTGGTCCCGGGAGCTCGTTTTAATAACAGACCCCAACTTCCTGCTCAGTGATGTCCCAGCTGCCCCCTGCTCTCTGGAATCCTTGGCACCCTCAGAGGATGAGGCCTCACTCATGTCGTGTGTGTGGTACCCCTCAGCACCAGGCCTCCCCTTCTGCCCTCACCCTACCGTAAATGCCAAAATTCCTGGACAGAGACTGGCTGCAGAAGAACTCGAAGCCGTGAGACACAAAGTATTGCAAGATTTTAGCATCTTCTTCCAGGTCACCAGTGTATAGACCCTGACAGGGAATGTCAAAAAATGGGAATATCTGCTTGTTCTGGAGGAGAGAGGAGAACCAAAACACGTATGAGGCCGATAGAGGAGAGGAGGGGTGGGGGGGCGTGGGAAGGAGGCTGGGCTCACCTTCATGGTACCCATCAACTTGGCCCACTGACCGAGGCTCAGCTTGCAGTCCACGATGTTCCCGATCACCAGGATGCAGCCGCGCGGGATCTGCTGCAGGGACAGGCTGGCTCAGCGATGCCTCTCCACCAAGCAGCGCTGGTGCCTGGCCCCGCTGAGCAGGGTGCTCCTCCGGGTGGGCGCCTATGGAGGGCCAGGCATGGCCAGGCCTAGAACAGGCCTCGCAGGGTCAGAGGTGCAGGGGGCAGACGAGGCCATGGCAGGGGCGGGGGCCATGTCTGAGTAGGCCCCTACCTGCACCACACTGAAGAGCACGTTGGAGTCCGAGCACAGCTGCTTGGGGTTCCAGATGCAGAACTCATACACGGTGTAGCCCAGGTCCCGGAAGACCAGTCCATGCGGCTCTGTGGGAACACAGCCCCCAGCTGGCCCACAGGGACAGGGACAGGGACGGGACAGAGGTACAGACAGCAGGGCTGAGAGATCCGGCTGAGGGCTGGGCGGGTGGCTTGTCCAGCGTCTTCCCATGACAGAGTGAGGACGGCGGTGAAGACTGCCAGGGAGCGGGAACTGGCGCTGGGAACGGGGACCTCGCGTGGCCCTCTTCTCGGGCCGCACTCACCTTTCTGAGAAGAGATGATGTAAACCATCTGACCGTCCTTATGCCAGGTCCTGAGGAACTGGCCCCCGAGCTGGAAGGCGCCACTGTCCCCAACGGTGTGCACACCCCCTACCTGTCGGCAAGTGAGCAGAAGCGCCGCTGCAGAAGAGCGATGGCAGTCCCAACGCCCTCCCACCTGCGCTCCTTCCTGAGAGCTCCCATGCCAGCCACCAGCCGTGCGGAGCAGCAGACGGTCTGGACTGGGGCTCCACCCCACCTCTGCCTTTCCCGGGCTGAAGCTGTGGACTCGGAGCCTCCGCATCTCCTTTGTCAAGGCCAGGGCGCCCTCCCTCTCCTGTGCCTGATCACACAGGTCAAGGCGTCGCCCCCGGCTGGGTGACCGAGAGGCCTCACCCTGTTCTCCACGATGGCTTGGCTGTGCTTCCCGAAGAGGAGCTCCAGGGAGGCCTGGAGGAAGGACGCCATGCCCACCGTGGGCACGTACTCGTAGTTCAGGGAGGGGTCCTGTGAGATCTGCAGCCGGGTCTTGCGCACCACAAGAGAGACCCAGGGCTGGCCTTCGTTGGTCATGCAGACTGGGGGACACAGCAGAGGGAGCTCCAGTGTGCCTGCTTCCACCCCGAGCCTGCGCCACAACCCACAAACAACACACCCATCCCAGGCTCCTGGGGGCTTTGGACAATGCCTGTGAAAAAACTTCCCTTTTTTCCCCATATTCTAATTTTAAAAAGACAACTGAGGGCCAACAGGTGGTGTGGAAGTTAAGGTGCTCGATCCCACATGGCCCACTGCACAGTTCAAGTCCCAGACTTGGGGGCCCGAGAATCATGCTGGGCACGCATGCATGTGCCCAGAATTCCGGGGGAGACCAGAGGAGACAGGATTGTGAATCTGGAAGAACAGAGCAGAGGTTGCTGGCCATGCCCCTCGGGGGTGATTTCTCACTTCTCCTCTGTCTCTCCGGTGAGTGTGCACACCCTACCGTAGAAACTAAAAACAGGAAAAATGTGGGAAGTACAGATTTGTGAAGCCTTGAGGGGACAGGGCAGGAACAGGAGAGAGGGCAAGGGAAAGCAGGCTGAGGAAGGTGTGGCATCTAAGAGGCCCCAAAGCGCTCCTCTTGGGATTTTGGACACACACACACACACACACACGTGTACACCTATGCATGCCCGCGCACGCCCCACCTGAGTTTAAGTCATCGGGTCCAGGACTCAAACTGCAGTGCACTACATGGGAGTCCAGCAACTTAGCCATTACGCCAACTGCTGGCCCCAAGTCTCCTGAGGCCCCAGCGAAGGGCAGAGGCTTCTATAGAGACTTGGCCGCTGGGTCCCCCGCAGCAGCGCAGTGCTGCCCCCTATAGGCAGTTAGGATACTTTGCGTCTTAGACTCCGCAGCTGGGCGTTACCTCGGTAGGCCAGGAACATCTTGTAGGGGTAGTCGTCTTGTTTGTAGGTCTTCAGCAAGCTGCCTTCTAGCTTTTGGGCCAGGGGCACATCCATGAACACGGAAAGGGTGGGCATAACGGATGAAAGAGGAGCCAGGACAGTGTCTTCGCCCCTCTGTTCTTCCTGCTTCTGCCTGGAAGTCTCCAAGCCTGGCCCGCCTGCCTCTTCCCAGAACCTGGGCAGCTTCAATGCAGAGACTCTGGACAAGTGGTCGCCAGAGCAACAGAACCTTTTGGGCCACAGGAACATTCTGTGGCCCTTGAGAATCCCCGAGAGGGTGGGCCAGGCGGGGTGGGGAGAACATGGGGTGCCAGGCACTGTTCTCCAACTTGGTGCCCTCTCTCCTCCAGCCCCAAGTGGTCCAAAACAGCTGCTTGGAAGACAGGGCAGGGCGGGCATGCTGCAAGCCAGACAGGGTGTCCCTGCAGGAGGAGGCCAGTCGTACAGTGGTGAAACAGAGGGATGAGATTTTGAATGTTCACCCATTTATTTATCTTTTTACCTGTTGTGATTTTCAAGCTACCAGGTCTGGGACTTGAACCACAATTGGCCATGTGGGAATCCAGCACCTAAGCTACCACACCATTTGCTGGCCCCAAAGGATGAATTTTAAGAGCTTCTATTTCCATTTTGCAAAGGGCTCCAGATTTGAAAAGCAATAGAAAGAGAACGCTGTTTTCTTTTTTTTGGAGAGGTTTTCGCTATAGGGCGCGTGCGCTCGCCAGACAGACAGAGAGAGACATAGAGACAGAAAGAGAGAAATCACCCCCCAGAGGGGATGGTCACGCCGCAATCCCTTCTCCTCCATTCTCCTCTCAGGATCTTGGGCACGCACGCACACGCGCCCGCCGTGAGTTTTAAGACACTGGGTCCGTGACTCCGGGACGCGAACCACGGTCAACTACGTGGGAGTCCAGCGACATAGCCATTACGCTAACTGCTGGTTCCCGAGAACACTGTTTACTTCTGCAGCTACTCAATGAAGTCCTGGGTTTCGAAAGTGCAGCTCAGTACGCCAGTCCTTGTCCTCAGCTGTCTAGGAACGAAATGTCTGCACTCGCCAGCAGTTTCTGTGTGGCCAGCCAGTCTCTAGAAAGTCCGGCTTGCATTTTTCTTTTTCTTTTTACATTTTATTTATTTATTTATTTATTTTTAAGATTTTATGTATTTATTTATTTGAGAGATTTTTGTTACAGTGCACGTGTGCTCACAGGAGAGAGAGGAGGTGAGAAATCACTCCCTGCAGGGGTGGCCATACTGCAATCCCTTCTCCATTCTCCTCTGAGATCTTGGGCATGCACGCACATGTGCCCTGCGTGTTCCAGACAGCCAGGTCTGTGCCTCGAATCTTGGTCTCCCGTGTGGGAGTCCGGTGATGTAACTACTCCATCTGCTGGCAGCTCCAATAAATAATTATTTAAAAAATTAAAAAAGAAGATCACCATTGCTAACTGCGAACAACTCTTATGAATTTAACGTGCTTTCTCTTTTTTACAAAAAAGAATTACTTTTAGTTAACTTTATTTATCCATTTGTTTAATTTATTTTCATTTGACCAGAGAGAGATAAAGTGAGAGAGAGAAGCAAGCTGCCAGGTCCAGGACTTGAACCACAGTCGGCCATGGGGGAGTCCAGCACCCTTAACCTCTACGCCAGTGTTTCCTCTTACCCTCAGGCCTCTCTTCTGGGGCTCAGGCCTGTCGGCTAGCTGTGTCCTAGAACCCGTGCCCTCGCGGCATCTTTTCCTTACCTCCCTCCAAATCTAGCTGAATCGCAAAGTCAAGTTGATGACTATGAAATAAAAGCTACGTAACGGAACCTGTTAGGTCACGTAGACAGATTTCCCATTCCTGAATAGACTGCGTTTTTCTCAAGATGTCGTAACCTCTCCAGACATGACACCTTACTATCCAGAGGGAGAGAGGCTCTCTTCTCCCCTGTTCCTTCACTGAAGGCCCTAACCCCCTGTGTCTTTGTTCTTGCTGTGGGGGAGTACTGGCCCTCCCTGATTTTATCTGGCAGAGGACAGACGCAAGAGCAGAAGGTGGTGTCAGTCCCTCCAGGTCGCTCTTAGGAATGGGAGAGGGGGAGGGGATGCTGAGAGGCAGCCCGCACCCCCAACCTCCGTCCCCAAAGGCCACCACCACGACTTTGCAGGGCTCTCTCTTGTCATGGCTCTTGCACTTCCAGGCCTGGCAGGCGGTCTCAGCAGCAATGGGCTCAGGGAAGGTTTTGTCTGGGCACCCCAGGCTGAGGGGTGGGCGGGAGTGAGGGGAGTGGAAAGGAGAAGGAAGCCGGCAAGTGCAGGGGCTCAGCCTGTGGCTGTTCAGCCAGTGGGCCAGGACTGAGGACGGGGACTCAGGTGTGGGGCTCCAGGTTCTAGGTTCCCACCTCTCACCAGCGCTGGGCCAGGACCGCCAGGCCAGCCCCAGCCTCTCCTTCCTGGTCTCCCTGGTTGCCCTGGCAGCTCCCGGGAGGATCTTCTGTGACCGCAGGTAGACACGCTCATGGTCAGCCTTCCAGTCCCTGACCTCTGCTTCTCTGAATGTCACTAGGGTCCCATATTTCTCACTGCCACAGGCAGTAGCGGCCACTGTGACACCCACATGTCACCAGCGAGGAGGCCAAGGGCGTGTGCTCCTCTGGAATCCCTACAAGCACCAGCCCCCTCCTCCCAGCAGCCAGCATGCGCCTGTGACCAGAGCCCCCCACCCCACCACAGTCCCCTCAGCCCGACCAACAGCATTCTGTCACAGCTCTGTCTCTTATACATGAAGGTCTTTGGAAAGCTGTTTAAGATCCCTCACCTTGGGCTGGCCCTATGGCCTAGTGGTTAAGGGACTAGGATCCAACATAGTTGACCTCATGGCTCAAATCCCAACCCTGGTGGCTCAAAACGCACATGGGGCATGTGTGTATGTGTGCCCCAAACCCCAACAGGAGTGTGGAGCAAACTTGCCCCACTGGGGCATGTTCTCCCCTTCCCTCTCTCTCTCTATCTCTGTCTCTTTCTAGTGGGTGCATATACTCTTTGGCAATACATAAATAAATAAGATGATATAATTCATCTGCCTCAGTGTATGCATTTTTTAAGAGGATTATTTACTTTTATTTATTATTGTTATTATTTTTTATTTGCTATAGTACACATGTACTCACCAAAGAGAAAGAGAAAGAGGAAGTGAGAAAGCAAGCTGCCAGATCCGGGACTCGAACCACACAGTCATGTGAGAGTCTAGCACCTCAACCACCATGCCACCTGCTAGCCCCAGTGCATGCATTTTTAAGTGGGGATAACGTGGAATTGTGTGAGGTTTATGGAAATGAGCACGGCCCTGGGTTGTGACAAAGAGGCAGAAACTCCAAAGCTGCCGTCCAAATTCTAGTGCTGACTATCATTTATCACGTAGGAGATTTTGTAGGCCCTGAAATAAAACCGATGTTTGAACAGACTAGCCTAAAGATCGTGCCCGGAAAGTTATGCACCCACCAATAACCCCCAGGTTCTGGGACCACGTGCACAGAGCTTGGTTGTTAGAGGGAATAGCTCCCCATAAGGCAAGCACCCCATATCCCTCCCAGGTCCAGCCAAGGAGGGCAAAGATCAAGGACACTCTCCCAAGGGTGTGCGCTCTGGACCAGTGACAGTTGTATGTGACTTTCAAGTCCCTGTCTTCTAAATGGGGGCCTCGTGGCAGCTTTCCTCCAGCACTGGACACCAGGGGTGGCTACATTCCTTTTTAATCCATGAGCTGAAATGTAATGGGACCTCAGAAGCTTCACAGAAATATAGAATTAAAGCATAGGTTTATTTTGGTACGAAAAATTTGAAATCCACGTGTAGTGTGTTCATAATACACATTTTCTTTGAACATTCTGAAGACCCCTCTTATCACGAGCAGCTCCTTTCTGACGAAGAGAAATATGCTTCCCTCAGAGAGCTTAAACCCCCAGCTGAACGTTGAGCCTGACTTCGGGTCATCCTCTTTAGGGGCTAAAGAGCAAGATTTTAGTTGCATGTGGGAAAACTGCACTACGTTGGGCGGGTCCTTCTTCAGTCGTATGCGTATGAGAAAAGAATGTGGACTGGGGCGATTTTTCACTGAATCCACCCTCCTACTCTTGACAGCAAACTCCCCCCATTGCCAACCTCAGTTGCAAAGCCCTCCCCTTCCCTCTCTCCCATTTCCGTGAGAGTCTCTCTCTATTACTGTTAACAAAGTACCTTAGACTGGACAATTCGTAAACGTCAGAAATGTGTTTATATGCTCACAGTTCTGGAGGTCCGAAGTCCAACATCGAGTCTCCAACAGGTTTGGTGTCTGGGGAGGGCTCGCTCTCTGCTTCAAAGACAGCTTCTCCCTCCTGCACCCTCGAATGGCAGAGGGGCAAGACAGCACCCTTCAACCACCTTTAACCTGCAGGCCCCCATGTAGTTTTATATATATAACCCTTATGTCTGTTTTTGCTTTTGTGAACTGTGTTTCTGAAGTATTATTCAACAACTCTTTGCCCAGACCAATGTTCTAAAGTATTTATTTCCCTTACGTTTTTTCCTTGTAGTTTCATAGTTTATGTTTCAGTCTTTTTTTTTTTGGAAAGGTTTTTGCTATAGGGCATGGGCGCTCCCCACAAAGACAGAGAGAGACATAATGTGAGAAATCACCCCCCAGGGGAGTGGCCATGTCACAATCCCTTCTCCTCCATTCTCCTCTTGGGATCTTGGGCACGCACGCATATGCGCCGGGCGTGAGTTTTAAGCCACCGGGTCTGGGACGCAAACTGCGGTCGGCTACGTGGGAGTCCAGTGACATAGCCATTACGCAAACTGCTGGTCCCCAAAAGCAAAGTTTTAAAAATGTTTCACCATTCAAGATTGGAAGTTCTAATATCAGACTACCTGCTCAGGTCAAAGATTTACCACCAGGAGAGGAGCGAGCATGGTTTAGGGGAAAGAGCTATGGTTTATACCTAAAGTCAGTTCTTCCTGCAGGAAGTGGGAGGGCGTGCCTCACAGCTCTGCTCTGGGAGGGCCATCCCCCCCCCTTCCCCGAACATTAGAGATGTCTCCACTGGAAAGCTGCTGACTGTACTCCCTCACTCTCCCAGGCCCTCGCCCTGTGGCCCAAGGGGAGGCCCAGGGGGACACGCTCACTCACATGACCCTGGGAGTGGAGGAGAAAGCAGACTGG